AATTATAAAATTAAAAAAAATTATATATATATATATATAAATTTAAAAAAAATTTGCACTGCTATGCCACGGTGACATTAATTAATTTCTACAAGCGGGATGTGTTTACAAGGACCTATAATAATAATAATAATAATAATAATAATAGCTTAGCCACAGCTTAGTTACAGTTCAAGATTTCCTGTTGATGAACTGTAGTACACAGAGATTTGTGGCACTACTGGAACAAAACAAAGAGCCATAAGGTCAAAAAGGGTACCATGATCAGATCATGACCACATTAAAATTTCATTCTGATTCATTCGGTTTACTTAAGTGGTCATTCACACTATTCTGAAAATATATATATTATTATGTCAATAATTCCTTAGAATAATCTCCAATGATTAACGTGCAATGGGAAAAGGCAAAACATGTAACCGAACATCCTCATCCAGGCAGTTTTCTTCTTCGTGATGATAAAGATGCGGTGTGGATCACTGCCGTTACAGCGTTACAACATTACAGCGCCAAATCCATATGGAAGCACTTCACGCATAAAAGATGGTGTGGAAGGGATCCGGGGTTGGTTTCTAGCTCTGGTAGCTGACCTACGGACAGTTTCGCATTGGCAGCAAGGCAACACGGTAATAATCTGGGGTAAAGAGCCGTCACAGCAAACACAAGCTGGGTTCACAGAGTGTATTGTCTTTGCACAGTCTGAACAACTAACACATGATTATTTCTCCTCATAAATTCATATATCAATACTTTTTTATAAATAAAAGAGTACTCAAATCCTGAAAAAAAAAAAGTGCAAAAAGGGATCTTTACAGAAGTTCTGCCTCCTTAAAGGAATAGTTCAGACAAAACTGAAAATTTGCTAAAAAACCGCTCGGGCCATCCAAGATGTAGATGAGTTTGTTTCTTCATCAGATTTGGAGAAATGTAGCAGTACATCACTTGCTCAGCAATGGATCCTCTGCAGTGAATGGGTGCCGTCAGAATGAGAGTCCAAACAGCTGATAAAAACATCACAATAATCCACAAGTAATCCACACCACTCCAGTCCATCAGTTAACGTCTTGTGAAGTGAAAAGATGCATGTTTGTAAGAAACAAATCCATCATTAAGAGGATTTTAACTTTAAAACACTGCTCCCAACTAAAATACGAGTCCATAATCCATAATATTGTGGATTATTGTGATGTTTTTATCAGCTGTTTGGACTCTCATTCTGACGGCACCCATTCAATGCAGAGCATCCATTGGTGAGCAAGTGATGGAATGATACGTTTCTCCAAATCTGATGAAGAAACAAACTCATCAACATCTTGGATGGCCTGAGGGTGAGCGCATTTTCAGAAAATGTTCATTTTTGGGTGAACTATTCCTTTAAATATTAAAATTCTTATGCTAGTGATGAAGACCTTCTCAGAGATTAAACCAGAGGAAATGGAGCTGAACTGTAAATTATAACAAATGTCTCAATGCAAAACCTAAATGATCAGGAAACCTGTTTGGAAATAATCATTATTTTGCCATTTTTGGATGTTCACCTTTGATTTCAACATGAAATGCCATTTACAATCCATTTTACTGTCAGTGTAAAACTGAATATACAGTGAGATTTAGTGGGACTTTATTTTTTAAAAGCTCTCACGGTGTACCATTATTGCCAAATCATTTATTATAATGCTTAAAAATCATGCAAAATGAGACCAGGAACACTTACACTGCTGTAGTTGGGGTTGGTAAGATTTTTTATGTTTTTAAAAGAAGTTAAAACATTAATATTGTAAAATATTATTACAATTTAAAATAGCTATTCTATATGAATGTATTTTAAAATGTTCTGTGATTCAAAGCTGAATTTTCAGCATCTTTACACCAGTCTTCAGTGTCACATGATCCTTCAGAAATCATTCTGATATGCTGATTCGCTGCTTAAGGAACTATTATAATTAACAATGTTGAAAACAGTTGAACTTCTTCATGTTTTTGTGAAACCGTGATTCTTTGATGAATAGTCACATTATAAATGTCACTTTTGATCAACTTAATGAGCCCTTGCTTAAAAATAAATAAAACGACAGTGTAAACAGAAAGTAAACAGCAAACATTTCTCCGTTAACTCTTTGAGAAGGTCTTCATTCCTGATGGTTAGACACTAAAATGTGCACATATGACCGAACAACATCTTGAAAAAACTAAATTGGCAACAGACCTCGGCCGACTGCCAATACTGGCTCACAGCAATGTACCTTTCCTCTAGAAAAGACTGGGATCCTGTGGGTACATCATCATTTCAGTTAGTATTCCTTAAAAACATAATCAGAGAGTATAAATGGAACAAGCGAAGGATGCAAGGTCCTTTCATAACCAACCATCTTTAGAAGATACATACGACTGAGGAAGATAGAAACCACTAAATCCTTGAACCTCTGAGAGATACGAACAATAAATACAAAACAAAACAATTATAATAAAAGATATGTACACACATTTCCAACAATAGGGTCTCTATAATACTTTAAACTATTAAAAAGGCATACAAATATACTTCTGCTCAACGTGTGAAGCACTAACCGGGTCAGTTAGAAAATTAATAAAGGATAAATTATTATACAAAATTCATGACCGGTTAAAGTTGCTTTACAACAGGGGTGCGAGTTCTGTCTTTTTTTTCTTTTTCTTTTTTGTTAAATCCACGAACACTTGTGTGTCAAAAACAAATACTCAAAAACCTGAATTCATTCCGTTTAGAAAAATACAACTTGCCGAAAAAGCGTCTGTAAAATATTCCCTTGTTTGAAACGTTTTTTCCCCTCCTTTGTACGTAGTTCAGATTTGAAATTAAGTGCACTTAATCGATCGACACGGTTGAGTCTGAAGGGCTTCCCCTTCATGTTGTCCCCATCTAAGTGAAAATAAAAAATAAAACTCCATATCGCGCAATGTCTGAAACGGGTTGTGTACTGGTTAAATCAAAATCTGAATCTGCATGAAACTGAAGTTTGTGTCATTTCAAAGGAAACGTGAGAAATCATTCTTGGATAAGCTGGCAGATGTAGAGTTTATTCCTAACGGGAACGGAACGGAAGAAGCTCTGTTGGAAAGGAGGACACAAAGGACGTGACTCAACCGTAGAGTGATAAGAGGCAGCGGTGGGATCAAGGCAGGACAGACACAGTGTCTCTCAGGACGTCCGAAGCTCTTCTCAAACTCACACTGCATCAGTGAGGGACCTTGGGCTACAAAATAGGTCGTGGTTAGTACGTTTGCATATGCAAGATTTGTGAAATTGCAGGCAAAAACCACAAGTGTCATTCATGAGATGGAAGAAAAATCCAAAAATGGCATTAAAGTAATGTAGGAATACATCATAGTATCCAACGTTCTTACACCTGTGGAACTAAGAATTTCCATGGTTTCCAGACATTTTGTAAGGATTCGTAAAAAAACTAACACAAAATTAGAAGAAAAAAATTATAGTCACTACAAAATTTCATGATTAAAAAAAAAAAAGATTACACATCTTTCATGGGCAAGGGGAAAAAATAGAAAAAATACAGACACTAGAAATATTCCATGATTTTAAATAACGTATTATTTATATAATATAAAAATATAACTAATAATAATAAATATTATGATTATATAATATTATAATTCTTTTCCAGAATAGAAAAAAATATAATGGAAATAGAGAATATATGTATACTAGAAAAATAGTCATTATAAAAATCACAACCTTTCAAAATATTATTGTAAAAATATTTATTATTTTTAATAAATATATATTAGGGGTGTGACGAGACACTTATCCCACGAGACGAGACACGAGACTGGGTTCACGAGACGAGATT